AGGGCGCACCGCACATTTTGAGGGAAAAAAAAGACGTTTAAGTGCGCCTTATAGTCGTGAAAATACGGTAATTCTTTCCAAGTTGCCTTTTCTGGATCCCATTCTCTTCATGTTCGCTGGATGTTAGCGGCAAGGTTTTTATTGATCAAGAATGATTGTTTGCAATAGGCTGGAACTGGGAAGAAGGAGATCTGTGAAATTGATTTTAAAAGACAGGAATTTGTAAAATTTTATCTGAACAAGACCAATAAAAAAAGAATAGTAAAATCTGTAAAACAAATGTGAAAAATTAAGTTTAGGAAGATAAAATTTGAAAATGAAAAATATTTTTGAAAAATTGAGAAATAAAGTTAAATCTAAAAAAAACAGCAAGGTTGTTCTCAAAAATCTTTTTTTCTGTTGAGTGATATTTGAGTATTGTTTCTGGATTGCATTTCTTTCCTTTACAAAATTTTTTCGCTGAAGTAATGGAACAAAATGGGAAGTTTTGGGGAAGTTTCTTGTGTAAAGTAATAGTCATGATTAGGAGTGTGTGGGACAAAATCGATTTGCCGATAAATCGTGATTTTTGGCTGCCCGACATGACATTGATCTTTAAGTTTAAGCTAAACACGTTTGTCTAAAACAATTAGGGAAATTTGGTTACCTCCCCACCTCCACTCTGACAGCTCCATTTCTGTAGTTGAGGCTGTCACAGTGGAAGATGTGGACTGCCTCAAAAAACATGGATACAAAAATAATTAAATAATCAATATCTTCTGATGAACATTTATAGCACTTGATTTTTTTTATCTATACGTTTAATTTTGATAGCTGGGCAAAAAATATTGCAATATATATTGATATTGCAATATCATGATGATATCAATTCAGTTTCAATTCAGTTTATTTCTATAGCTCCAATTCACAACACGTCATCTCAAGGCACTTTACAGTTCAACCAGATCATACAGTCAGATTGATTCAAAGTTTTCCTTCCAAGGAAAACCACTTGATTGCATCGACTCATTGACTCTTCAGCAATCCCTCACACCAAGCATGCTTGTAGCGACAGTGGAGAGGAAAAACTCCCTTTGAACAGGAAGAAACCTCCAGCAGAACCAGGCTCAGTGTGAGCGTCCATCTGCTGAGACCGACTGGGGTTCAAGGAGACAGAAGCAGAGATACAGAAAGAAGCATAGATACGAAAGAAACCTAATATCGTATTCTGACCCAAGTATCGTGACACATATCATATTGCAACACCCATGCTAATACTCCCCCTAGTCATGATTAGAATGTATTTCAAGATGCTTTATTGTGGATGGGTCTTAAAAACATGAATAATCTGAAGCAGTTCAGCTCATCCAGTTAGATGAGTTAGAAGTCTGGCCCAGTGGACGCAGTGAAACACGGTAACGACTCTTACTGGTTCAGACCGGTTTACAAGAGGAAACTATGAACTGGATGGAGAGAGAAGACCGTAAACTTGTTTTATTTTTTCCAGCTTAGGCCCCACATTAATGGACCGTTCACCCCTGACCTGGCACACCCCGTGTCTGAGGTAGGCGCTGTGGCCAAGAAGAACGGCTGGCCGTTGGAGGTCAAAGTTGGTGAGGACTGCTTGATGATAAAATGCTTCTGTTGATTTATGGGCGGTTTAATGTGCCTGCAAATAAAAAAAAAATGTTCCCCCTCACTTTTAAAGGTCTGATCGGCAGCTGCACCAACTCCAGCTATGAGGACATGGGCCGCGCCGCTTCGCTGGCCAAACAGGCTCTGGACA